CGATTAGATTCCAGTCCGTAACTCACTCCCGGGTATCCGTTATTCCACATATAAACCATCTGAACCCCTCGATTAGATTCCAGTCCGTAACTCACTCCCGGGTATCCGTTATTCTACATATAAACCATCTGAACCCCTCGATTAGATTCCAGTCCGTAACTCACTCCCGGGTATCCGTTATTCTACATATAAACCATCTGAACCCCTCGATTAGATTCCAGTCCGTAACTCACTCCCGGGTATCCGTTATTCTACATCTAAACCATCTGAACCCCTCGATTAGATTCCAGTCCGTAATTCACTCCCGGGTATCCGTTATTCTATATATAAACCATCTGAACCCCTCGATTAGGTTCCAGTCTGTGTGTGTACGTTGTTATATGATTTGCATGTAATTGAGCGTTTGCTTGTGCATGCTGAATTCTGTCTCTGAGCATTGCACAGTGGGTACAGGTCTCCAAGCCTGTGCAAGATGTGGATGCTGCAAATCATGGTGTTCGAGGAATAAACCCCAGGGCCATCAGTTACAAGAAACCTTCCTCCAAACATGTTCAGCTTTGTCAGTTCTGCCAGAAGGAAAGTCGCTGATGGGGTGGGCGACCGGGGGCGGAAATTGCTGACAGCTGCATGACCTCCAAAAAGAAAAGTGCAGATCAGCAAACGTCTTCACAAAAGCAGTTCACATACGAGCAGCAAAAGCAAGCTGTAACCTGCTGACTCCAAGCTGAAGCACTCTCTGAGAATGTTAATCTAAATCGCTTCTCACCAGGGCATTTAGAAGGACAGGACAGCCTGCCGACGTCAGGAAGGGGAACTGATTGGAAAATGCAACCGACGCCAGTGCGAGGCGGGCAACACTGGCATTTCCAAACTGCCTCGTCTCCACTGTGCCCACATTTGCTGCCATCAAAGGCTCCCCAAGCTAGGGCAGTGCCAACGAGAGACAGGCTCTGTATGAACACTGCCAAACATCTCGCTGCCAGAATACGAAACAGAGTGCCAACATCTCCACACAAGCGATTGCTACTTCGTTTTGGTTGCACGTGTGGGTTCTCATCCCTGTCCAGGACAACCTTATCCATAGAAAGCAACTGATCGAAGGATGTCCATTAACCCAGGAGTAGATCCCATTCAGAGAGCGGGGTGGGGGGCATTGCAGAAATCCTCTCATCAACCCCCATTCGATGGATCAGAGAGATGGTTCCAGTGCAATTGTAAAATTTCACCCAAACAGCCCAACAACAGCAAGGATTCAGCACAGCATTCCCCCATAGAGTGTCCAAATGTCAACGCTAACAGTCAGAGATGATGATGGTGGGACCGTACTCAACTGCCCGTGCCAGAGGGTAAAATATCTGCACAGTGACAAACTCCTAGTGAGGCAGTTCACAGAACAGTGCAGCACAGGAAAAGGCCCTTCAGCCCACCATGTCATGGTGCCATCCTAAACTAACCTCTACTGCCTGCCTATGTCCCTCTATCCCCTGCCTGTTCGTGTGTCAGTCTCAATGCCTATTAAACATTGCTGTCCTATCTGCTTCTACCACCTCCCCAGGCAAACATCGAGAGAGTGACAAACTCCCCATGAGACAGTTCAGTGACGAGTTCCCGGTGGGACAAGTTGAGAACGTGCTTGCGCCAACACTATAGCCAGCGACTAACTGAAGATGACTGTAATTGTAGATAATACTCACAAGGCATACCTTTAAGTGTCAGCACAGAAGGAGATTCCTTCCCTGTTCCTTCAACTAACACCTCCCCCATCTTCCACACAATCTCGGTCGGTTCTGGCCTTCCAATAGCAGCACATGTCAAGTTGAAGGGCGTATTTTTAAAAACGATCCTGTCCTGAGGTTGCACTGTGATGTACGGTAGACCTAATGAGGGAGAAAACAAAAAGCAGTTTTGTCGCAGATCAAGTGCCTAGGTCCTAAATACAGAGGCCCTCCCAGGAGATAATACTGACGCAAAAACAGAAGCTGTTGAAAAGCTCAGCAGGTCTGGCAGCTTCTGTGAAGAAGAGAAAAAAATTCAGAGTTAACGTTTCGGCTCACCAGACTTGCCAAGCTTTTCCAGCAACTTCTGTTTTCGTCCCTGGTTCATGGCATCCACAGTTCTTTTGGTCTTTTTTAAAATAATATTGACGCTCTGCTGTCAGCAGGTACCTGTCCTGCATTTAACACCCAACTTTCAAACAGACAGGATCATCATTGCAAAAGAGAATTGTTAGCGTGAATCCACACTGATGTTGGAACGCCCACCACCTTAAATATATTCAGGGACCATTCGCCCAAATGCTACGCACTGATCCCTCCCTGTAAACAATGAAATGCCAGTATCATAAGCCACTCCATTCCCCACAATTATTTTAGATAAAGACGCTGCAATTTCCAGTTTCCTAAACTCAGCACAATTATCCTCAATGGGAGCCCTACAATGTTGTCCTTAAGCCTTGTATGATTATCCTGGCTGAAATCTCTACTGTACCGAACCCAGCCCACTCAGCCTCGGCACTAAACTGTCCCATTTGCATGAAGCTAGCGCCTTGACTCTAACTCTGGGCCCTGTCCCTATCTCCCAACCTCATGTTCACTTTGGCAAACCCTACACACACGCTGACTGACTCTCCCTTGCCCAGGACAATGTTCAGAGTTCCCTCCTCACCTTCGACAGCCAGAAACGCCTTTTTCGAGTTAGTGTGAGAGCCATTCACTGTGGCTACGCACCAATACCAGCCCATGTCTGTCTGCTGCACATCCACCAACCTGAGGAAGAGATAAAGCGGAGATTCGGTGCCGTGAGCCTGTTGGTTATGTTCAGCTACCGAAGTGACATCACTGATTTTAACTCCGAGACAACGCGGGCTCCAAGTATTTGCGATTGTCTCCTTTCTGTCGGGAAGTGGGTCACGTTCTGCGGAACGGAGCCATGCAGACTGGGCAGACAGAGGTCAAAGTGCAGTCAGACATCTGGACCTAAATGACCTCATCTCGTGGCCCAGGGTCACGCCAGCAACTGAGCTGCGTGCCCCCCCGACCAATTAAGGATCCTGGCTTTTCACGGCCGCTCAGCTGGGAAGTGCCAACTGACAGACAGCAGGGGAAGCTGGTGCCAGGATTAAATGTGGTCCACTTCCCTTCCTCTTTCCCCATCTCTCTCTACACGCCCCCCTCTCCCACCCCCCACTTTCCTGTTCTGTCCCCATGTTTCCCTCTCCCTGCCTACCTCTTTCTCCTCCATCCCATTCCCTCTCTGACTGTCTCTCTCCCTCTCTCTCTGCCTTCTCTCTTCCAACTCCCCCAATCCTCTCTCTCTCTCTCTTCACCTCTTCTCCTCCCTCACCACATCCTTCCTGAAGGCAACCATTTTCCAGACTGTCCCACCTCCAGAACCAATCCCTTGTCCAAATTCTAACCTGCACTACACACACGACCCCTGAACCCACGCTCTCCTTTTAACCTTCAACATAGGAATATCCTGTCTGGAAAATCCTGGGAGAAATTCAAGCTTTACAGTCTGGTGAAGGGAGTCACCTGGAAGTTGGTGGACCAGGTACAAACATTCCATGGACTGTGTATTCGATAACTATTGTGTAATACAGGAACCGATGTACTCAATTTGCAATGGAGTACCGTGTGCAGTTCTGGTCACCCTGTTATAGGAAGGACATTGTCAAGCTGGAGAGGGTTCAGAAAAGATTTACCAGCATGTTGCCGGGAATGGAGGGTTTGAGTTATGGGGAGAGGCTGGATAGGTTAGGACATGTTTCACTGGAGTGTAGGAAGTTGAGGGGTGACCTTATAGAGGTCAATAAAATCATGAGGAGCACAGATAAGGTGAATGGCAAGTGTCTTTTCTCCTAGGGTGGGGGGGGGGGGGGTTTCAAGACTAGGGGGCATATGTTTAAGGTGAGAGGAGAAAGATTTAAAAAGGACATGAGGGGCAATTATTTTTTACACGGAGAGTGGTTCGTGTGTGGAATGAACTGCCAGAGGAAGTGGTGGATGCGGGTACAGTTACAACGTTTAAAAGACATTTGGGCAGGTACATGGATAGGAAAGGTTTGGAGGGATATGGGCCAGGAGCAGGCAGGTGGAAGTAGTTTGGTCAGTATAGACTGGTTGGACTGAAGGGTCTGTTTCCATACTGTATAACTCTATGATACTTAGAAAGCTCCTATGAAAGTAATGAGCGAATAAATTAAGTTTTAAGGATGTTGGATGAGGGTTAAATATTAGATAGAAAACACTGCAGAGGGTGTGGAGGTAGGGCGGAGTTAGCTATTACGAAGGGGCATAGTTTTAAATTGAGTGGAGGTAGCTATAGGGGAGACGTCAGAAGTAGGTTCTTTACTCAGAGAGTGGTCGGGGCATGGAATGCATTGCCAGAGAGGGTAGTGGAGTTGGCCTCATTAGGGGCATTTAAGCGGCTATTAGATAGGCATATGGATGATAGTATAAGGTAGGGGTGGAGGTTAGATAGACCTTAGGTTTAGGGTAAAAGTTCGGCACAACATTGTGGGCCGAAGGGCCTGTACTGTGCTGTACTGTTCTATGTTCTAAGAATTCTCTTTGTAATATTAGCACAAGGTCTTTTACATTAACAGGAGATACACCCTCTTGGTTGTACACTGGGAGCATGAGCTTTAGATTAAGTTAACTGAGTGGATCTTCAACCCACTCCAGCGACGGGGGTGGGGGGAGGGTCGGGGGGTGGTGCGGGGGGAGGGCAGGTTTCGGTTCAGGTTTTTTGTGGGATTACCTGATGTTGCTGAGAAACTCGTCCTCGCCGACGTGAACGCTCATGAACTCCGCGCTCTGCAACTCTTGGCCGTCCTTCACCCAGCCGATGGTGGGCTGTCCCAAGAACCCCTGCAGCCGACATCCCATTTGAGCATTCAGGCCCAGGGAGACGGTCAGGTTGGCGGGGTTGACCACAAACTCCAACCCTGGCACGAGAAGAAAGGCAAGGAATCAGCTGACTGGCCGCGAAGCAAGATCTGCTGAACGAGAACATTGACGCCGGGAGAAGGGGTTTGTTGATAACTGGATTCTCAAAGATTGACTTCGTCACCTCCAGGCTGTAGAGAGGGTTAGATCTCCCAATTGTCTTGTGAAGAAAGAAGCTGAGGCTGTATCCAGACAGTGTAACTCGGACTCCCTTGGACAGGGAAGATTAAAGGTTGACCAAATTGGGGTCAAAGCAGTTGCTCGGACAGAGGAAAAATAATGACTTCCTGTTGTGATAGAATCTAGAAGGAAATATGACCTTAAAATTACAGTTAGGTCAGTCAGGTGTGACGTGAGATGACACAAATCAGGCCCGTTTCTCTTCAGTTTCAAAGGTTAATGTAAAGTCTTCCATGTGTTAACAGGAAAAGACTGGGAGGTAACAATGAACTATTTCCACTGGTCGGGGATTTGAGAAAAAAGGGGCGGTGTTTGAGAATTAGGGCCAGATTGTTCAGGAGAGATATTAGGAAGCACTTCTCCACACAAAGGCTGGTAGAGGTTTGGAACTGTCCTCCACAAACAACACGCTGGATCAGTTGTTAATTTTAAACCGGAAATAAACATTTTTTTTGTTAACCAAAGGTATTATGGGGATACGGCCCACATGTGGAGTTAGGCCACACATCATGCAAGATCACTTTGAACGGAGGAACAGGCTTAATGGGCTGAATGGCCTACTCCTGTTCCCATTCTTAAATCAGGAAGGACCTTCTCACACAAAAGGAAGCAGGAATCTGAAACTCTCCCCAAGGGAGAAGGGGAAGTGATGAGGGTAGCAGGGTGAGGGTCATTTGCATGCAGATTGATGACATTGTTGTTCGACAAGATTACTGACCTCTGCCAGGTGGAGGATTAAGTGAGAGGTCAGTCACGATCTATTTGAATGATAGAATAGTCCTGAAGGGCTGAACTGCCTCCTTCTATTCCCTTATTCCTCTGTACCAAAGCCCAGCCCATACTGCACTAGCTGATCTATCTCTTCCTAGCTCTGAGCATCCCTGGGCGACAGCAGGATCTCGGCATGAATGGGGTATGGGAAGGTGACGATTCACCTGATTTCCCATTCCCAACTGTTATCCAATGACCTTTGGTGGGAAAATGTTCCAATATCCCAAACTTTGAGGTTCATTATCTGCAATCCCGGCAGGAAAAAGACCGATGCATCAGGAGACAGTTTTTCAAAAATATGGCTTAATGAGAGAAAGTATAAAAGGCTAAGTGTGCTTAATTAAATTCATTAATTAATTGGATGAAGTGGAAACTGGTGGTACAGTGTATACAAAAGTTAAAAATACATTTAGCAAAGTAATTGCTCAGCAGTGCAGAATGTAAACGCTGCTAAAAAGGGCTGAGAACTCTTTGACTTGCACTCGTCACGACTGAGATGCAAGAAAACCAATTTTAGGAAAGAAACAACAATTTTGACAGCATGAGAAGAGAGTGCTGATTGGTCGGAATAGGGTTTAACATGGAGATGCAGTAAGTATCGTCAACTACAAATGGTAGCTAACTGATTTCGGTCAGCATGGGTGAGGTGATTTTTGATTGGACGACGTGTAGCCAGAATCTGCTCTCCCCATAGCACTTTCCTGATTGGAGAAGAAACAATTATCTTTCTGTGGATGATGTAGTCGATAGATACTATTTAACGAACTTTAAAGCAAAATTGACGTCCGTGGGGTGAAAGGGACAGGAAGTGTGGATGACGAAAACCTGAAACGAAAAAAGAAAGAGAGAGATGCGCAGGGACCACAGTGGGGTCAAATTTTCTCTGCAAAATTTTGTTATGTGCAGTCGGTCTTTTTCAATATTCCGCACCATTAAATTTAACCGCAGCCAACACAGAAAAGGGCCCGCGGGCCATCTCCCTGAGCGGCCGTGCGGACTCTCATTCTGGTGCCAGCATGGGTCCTGCTCAGTTTGCTATGTGCGGTGTGACCCGCATCGGGGTGCAGAAGGCAAAATCCTAAAGTCCGTAACAAACCACAGTGAACGCAGCCCGCGGTGACAGGAATCACAAAAGGCTTCAGGAAGGCGGAGAATTGTCAGGCATGTGGCAGGCGGAATTTTGCGCGGAGAGGTGTGAAATGATTCATTTTTGTAGGAAGACTGAGGAGAAAGAACAGAGTCTCATTTGCACTCTCGTTGAAAAGGGGGTGCCGAGAAAGACAAAACTAGCAGTACGCAAGCACGAGGTGGCACGATGCATGGTAAGGCTGCTAACCGAAGCAGATGGGATTCTTGGCTTTTGTAATGAGAGACATAAGGTACAAATGCGAACTAGAGCTTTATACAGTCGAAGTCCTGTTATCTGCCTGGACTGGGGGAATAGGTGGTGCAGGTTATGGAGTTATATGACTCACACAACCCTGCTCTGAAAGGGGAAGCGGTCAAGGGCTCCAGCACATTAGAACATCTCAGCAAAACCACCAAAACTGAAGGCAGCAGGCTGACACGAGCTAAAACCACAGCTCCCAGCCCTGGTTTTATAATGGCAGATCGAACTGTCGTTCTTCACTGACTGACCGGTACATCAATGTCCAGGCAACAAGTCTAACCCAACAATTCAATAAATTCCAATCAACACCTACAAGCAGTGAATTTATAATCCACCAGTACCATTATCGGCTTTCTTCTGAAAGAACGCCGAAAGCGACCAACTTTTTGAAATAAATAACCGCTCTGCGCAAAATTTCTAGTCACTCGAGACTTCCTGCTGTGGATAATACCAGTTAGGCCTCAGCTGGAATATTGTATACAATTCCTGGTACCACACATCAGGGAGGATGGTCAGTCAGTGTTGCTGATTCACTGCAACAGGCCCACAGAAGGGAGGCCTTTTGTTTTCTTAACGTGGAGAGGCTACAGAAGTGGGCTGTCCCCCCTGAGAACACAGAAGGTGAAGGACAATTTGAAGGTGGTTGCTGAAAATTGCGAGGTGCTTTAATAAGACATTGTTTCCGGTGGCAAAAAAAACACACGCAGGAAACATAATTAGTTAAAGAAGCCAAAGGGGAGAGGACGGAGCAAAGTCTTTCAAAGTAGCAAGTCATTATGATCTGGAACGTACTGGCTGAATGGATAGCAAGAACCAATAATTAGAGGACTGGAAAAATATTTGAAAGGAGAGAAAATCATCCAGAGGACGAAGGAACCAGTCTTTATCAGCAGGACGTGTCTGCACAGGAGAGAGTGCAGAGAAGGTTCACCAGGATGTTGCCTGTCATGAAAGGCTTGTTATGAGGAGAGACTGGATAGGCTGGGTTTGTTTTCCTTGGCGCAGGGGAGAGTGAGGAGGGATCTGATGGAGGTGTACAAAACGATGGGAGGCACAGACAGGCTGGTCTTGTGAGAATCTTTTCCCCACGCTCTAAAACCAGAGGGTATAAGTTTAAGGTGAGGAGCAAGTGGGGATCTGAGAAAAGGTCTTTTTGTCCCCCCAGAGACTGGTAGAAATATGGAGCGTGCTGCCCAAGAGGGTGGTAGAGGCAGGTACTCTCACAATATTTAAGAAGCATCTGGATGAGAACTTAAAACGCCAGAGCATTTAGAGGTCTAGGGACTGACTTCAGGTAAATGGATTAATGTAGTCATAGAGTCATACAGCACAGAAACAGGCCCTTCGGCCCAACCAGTCCGTGCTGACCATAATCCTAAACTAAACTAGCCTGCGCTTGGCCCATATCTCGCCAAACGTTTCCTATTCATGTACTTATCTAAATGTCTTTTAGATGTTGTAACTGTACCCACTTCTCCCACTTCGTCTGGAAGTTCATTCCACACGTGGACCACTCTGTGTGTAAAATAATTGCCCCTCATGTCCTCTTTTAAATCTTTCTCCGCTCACCTTAAAAATATGCCCCCTTGTCTTGAAAACCTCCCACCCTGGGGAAAAGGCACCTGCCATTCACCTCATCTATGCCCCTCATGATTTTATAGACCTCTGTAAGGTCATCCTTCAACCTCCGACGTTCCAGTGAGAAAAAGTTCCAGCCTATCCAGGCCCTCCTTATAACTCAAACCCTGTAGTTTGTTGGTGTTTGTTGCTCAGCATAGACATGGTGGGCCGAAAGGCCTGTTTCTATACTGCCACAGGTATAATGGGCCGAATGGCTTCCTTACATGCTATTTCATTCTACCCTTCAATGACAGGTAGAAAATAATGCCAGTACAAGAGGAGGCTTGGGCCTATTGCTGGAGTCAATACTAGTTCCAATTAACAGAAATGAAGTGGATACAGAATACAAGTGGCCAGATTTGCAGTTGACAGCGAACTGGGGCGGGGTGGGGGGAGCCTTCAGGGAGGAAGGGAGTGGAACTCATGGGTGGGACTCAGAAATTATTTGCATTACATATATATTAAATACATTAGAATGAGTTGGAAGCACTTGCAAGGGGAAAATAAGAATGTGAGAAGTTTCACAACATAAATGCTAAGTAAGCAAAAAAAAATAGATCACGTTCTTAGTGCAAGAATAGAAATAGCTAAGAATGAACATGAAAGGTAATGAGGAGTCTTGTTAGACTGGTGTCTAAGAACTGCGGGGCAATGTTGAACAAACCCAGCTGCTCAGTTGCCAAGAGTGTGGTTCTAATAATGTCAAGGTGTGGCTTCAATGCAGGTCAAATATGGGGCACAGAAACCTGATTATCACCAAAAGCCTTCCCTCAGCTGATGAATCAGAGCTCTTCCACATTGAGGACCATGTTGGAGGAAACATTGAGCATGCAAGGACCCAGAACATACTCTCAGTCAGGGTCTTTGGTGTCCCATGACCCAGAGTGGCTCAAGAGCACCGTTAATAACTCAGTCGCCTGAGTCCCGCTATAGACTGTGCAGCAGCTGGTGAGGGAACCAACAAGATGGAAGAACCGATAAGACCATCTCCTCACCAAATCTATCTGCCGCAGATATGTCTGTCCACTGTGGTATTGG